CGAATTGGAATCGCGGCCCCAGCGGGCGAATCGAATCGCATCGAATCGGATTTGCAGGCGGCCCTGACAGGCGGCCCCATGTGAACCCCCCCCCACACGATTTCTGAGGAGGGGGGGTCCGCTCCGCTCAGGAGCTCCCGGGCGAAGTGAACCCCCCCACCCCCCCTTCGAAGCCGCGGGGGGTGGAGGTAGGGTTCACATGTGGCCACCGACTGGATTCAGGGTACACCCTGCGAAATGCTTAAGAAACCATGGGTTAAGAAATTCATAGTCTCAGAACTTGAATAAAAACCTAAAGTTCCCATTCAAATCTTAGGATTTACATTGAAACGTTAAGAATAATCGAGACTCTGGACGAAAACTTAGGTTTTCTTAAGCATCGCCTAAGGTGTACTCTTCAGAGCCTCCACGGAACCAGTGGTTTGCGCACTGCTGGGATGCTGCTGCTCGAGCGTCGGGCGCCGGTCTTTGAGAACGCAGCCTGCCAACCCATCTGCCCGGCCCAGCAAGCGGAATCCATCCGAAGAACGACGCTCTCCAGACGCATGGGCCATACCCCTCCCTCTTCCACCCAGGGAAACAAGCAATGGCATAAGCATAAAAACTCGAAGTTCCGCGCGATTCGTTCTGAAAGGCGCTGGACCCCCCCTCCTGGCGCGCGGAGCGCGCCGGTGGCGGCACCATAGGCGCCGCCAGGGAGCTCTAGCGCCGATCCAAGAAATCTGCGCGGACCTCAGAGTGTTTATGCTTGTGTCATTGTTTGCTCCCCGACCATTATGTCCGCCTTTGTCTTTCTATCTCGTCTCTTGCTCTTTCGCTTCGTGCCTGTGCCAGCTTCCCGTGCAGCCCACCGCTCGCTTTGACCAGCGGCTGACCGCCTCGCACACCCTGGTGCCCGCGGGCATTCCAAGCTCCCCGACCACAATGCTTTTGTGAAGGTGCCAAGAGACACACACACACATAAATTGATACCAATCCCAGGACCCCCCTTAATTTCCAATACCTTCTGGATGCTCGACGTCCCCTCCTTTGCTTCCTATCTTCTCCCTACATTCGAAACGTGCATACAGGACGGGTAGTAAGGACGCAAGACCCTTGGAGGCCGAAGCTGGGATTGTTCGGACGGCGGGCGACCAACGAAAACGATCGAATCGATAAGTCGGATCGGCGATCGGCATGACTCGGATCGGCGGAAAGCGGCAGCCGAGTCGAAAAAGGTCGAATCGGCGGAAACATCGGCAGGCTGGCAGGCCTCCATTTTGAGACATCGGCATCCCGAGCCGAAGCGGATCGGAATTTCGGAACCCACCGACATCGCATCGAATCGCATCGGAGGAACCGAAATCAGCCCTGGCAAGGGGTGGCGCCTGCTCCTCCTCCTTCTCTTCCTCTCCCTCCTCCTCCCCCTCCTCCTCCTCCTCCCCCTCCTCCTCCCCCTCCTCCTCCTCCTCCCCCTCCTCCTCCTCGTCCTCCTCCTCCTCGTCCTCCTCCTCCTCCTCCTCCTCCTCCTCCTCCTCCTCCTCCTCCTCCTCCTCCAGGCCGATGTCCCTGGGGGAGGAGGAGGAGGAAAACAAAACCGCCGCCTGGCTCCGGCGCCCGCGGCGCGCGCGGCGCTGGCGGCAGGCCGCCGCAGCGCCCCTCGGCGCTCGCCTAGCGCGAGAAAACGACGGCCGCCCAGCCAGAGCTGGGACGACGCCAGGACGAGAAGAGATCGGGTGAGGACGACTCCCCCTCCTCCTCCTCCTCCTCCTCCTCCTCCCTCCTCCTCCTCCTTCTGCTCCTCCTCCTCCTCCTTCTGCTCCTCCTCCTCCTCCTCCTCCAACTCCTCTTCCAACTCCTCCTGCTCCTGCTCCTCCTCCTCCTCCTCCTCCTCCTCCTCCGCGCTCGCCTGGCGCGAGAAAACGACGGCCGCCCACCAGAGCTGGGACGACCCCAGGACGAGAAGAGATCGGGTGAGGACGACTCACCCTCCTCCTCCTGCTCCTGCTCCTGCTCCTCCTCCTCCGCCTCTTCCTCCAATTCCTCCTCCTCCTCCTCCTCCTCCCTCTCTGCTCCTGCTCCTCCTCCTCCTCCTCCTCCTCCTCCTCCGCCTCCTCCTCCTCCTCCTCCGCCTCCTCCTCCGCCTCCTCCTCCTCTGTGAGAAGCGTCAACCAGCTCTGATTAGACGAAGCCAGGAGGAGGATAACATCGGGTGAGGGCACAGGGCAATTTTTAATACATGGGATTTTAAAACCATATGATTTTTAATACATGACTAACCTATGGCAAAAGATATGCATGAACTCGTCGTTTTTTTAGTATACTGAATCCGCACGCGGAGCATGTATTAAAAACGGCACTGTACACCGAGAACCTCTGAGATCCGGCGGCTCTGGCTCTGCAGGGTCCTGCAGGAGCCCGCGCTCTGCCCGACACACGTCTGCACCGACCCGAGGCGGTGACCACCAGGGCCCGCCCGATGTTGCACCAAGAGGCCCCCAAGAGGCCCCCAAGAGCCCCCCAAGATCGCTTCAAGACGGCCCCAGAGGCCTTCAAGAGGGCCCCTAGACGGCCCCGGAGGGGCCCCAAGACGGCCCAGGAGGCGCCCCAGACGGCCCACGAAGGCCCCAAAAACAGCTCGAACGTACATTTCGAGCCCTCGGCCTCGAGGGGCCCATAGGATGCCCCAAGAGGCCCCCAAAACTGCCCCCAAGAAGCCCCCCAAGACGCCCCGACGAGACCCCAAGATTCATCCGTGAGAACTCTGACCCACGACCCAGGCACGGTGGCGGAATGAGCCGAAAGCCATTCGATCCGCCGCCCCCCGTTGATTCATCACAGGGGTGCCTGGCGTGCTGAACCCTTTCGGTTTTGGCTTTGGTTCTTTTCCCAAAGAACTCCCCCTGGGGCTCCGGCGCGTCCCGCCGGGGTCCCGATACGATCTTCAAGGAGCCCAATTCCCCCAAAAATCCTCCAAGACGGTCCAAGATGGTCTCCAAGATGGCCACGTCGGCCCAAGATGGCCTCCAAGATGGTCCAAGACGGCCTCCAAGTTCGCCAAAGATGGTCCAAGATGGCCTCCAAGACGGCCCAAGAGGGTCCAAGGTACCTCCAAGTTCACCCATGAAGCCTCCAAGAAGCCTCCAAGACGGCCCAAGAGGTCTCCAAAAGGTCCTCCAGGAGGGCCCGAAGAGGCCAACATCATTGATTTTCCTAAGGTTCTTGAAGGATGCTGGAATTTGCCTCTTCTCGGCATTCCGACAGCCCGAGACGGCCCAAGAGGCCGCCAGGATCGCCCCAAGATCGCCCGCGAGGCCTCCAAGAGGGCCCCATGACGGCCCAAGAGGCCTCCAAGACGGCCCCAAGAGGCCCCCAAGACGGGCCAAGAGGCTTCCAAGACGCCCAAGATGGCCTCCAAGACGGCCCTGGAGCATTCCAAGAGGGCCCCAAGTCGGCCCAGAGAGGCCCCCAAGACGCTCCCGACGGCGTCAGACGGGCCAGGCACCCACCAAGATGGCCGAAGTTGGCTCGAAGCTGGCCCAAGACGGCCAAAGAGGCCTCCAAGAGGGCCTCCAGGAAGGCCAGAAAAGGCCAAAAACACTGATGTTCCTAAGGTTTTTTTTGGGGGGGGGGATTTTGACATTTGCGTCTTTTCGGCCTTCTGACAGCCCGAGACGGCCCAAGAGCTCCCAAAGATCGCGCAAAGATCGCCCAAGAGGCCTCCAAGATGGCCCCAGAACGGTCCAAGAGGCCCCCAAGACGGCCCCAAGAGGCCCCCAAGACGGCCCAGGAGGCCTTTAAGACGCCCAAGATGGCCTCTAAGATGGCCCTGGAGCATTCCAAGAGGTCCCCAAGTCGGCCCAAAGAGGCCCCCCAAACGGCTTCCGACGGCGTCAGACGGGCCAGGAGCCCACCAAGACGGCGGAAGATGGCCCTAAGATGGCCCAAGACGGCCCAAGACGGCCAAGAGGCCCCCAAGAGGGCCTCCAGGAAGGCCCGAAAAGGGCAAAATCATTGATTTCCCATGAGTTTTTGCAGGCTGGTGGCATTTGTTTTTTTTTGTCGGCCTTCCGACGGCCCGAGACGGCCCAAGTGCCCCCAAAGATCGCCCAAGAGGCCCAAGACGGCCCCAAGAGGCCCCCAAGACGGCCCAAGAGACCTCCAAGACGCTCAAGATGGCCTCCAAGACGGCCCAAGAGCCCTCCAAGACGTCCTCCAGGAAGGCCCGAAAGGGTCAAACTGGCCTCCCGGCGGCCAAGATGATCGTCAAGATGCCCACGTGTTCCCCGAAGGTTTTCCAAACCGATTCGGGGAACACATGGTCCGATAGCTTGGCAGGTCTGGCCTCAACGTTCGGCCACATAGGCGCTTCCAAAAAGGCAGGGGGCGACGGTGATTCGCCGTTGGCGTCTTCGATCAGTGGAGGTGTTCTAAACCAGCGTGGGGGGGTACCCGCCCGACGGGGGTCAACCTCGCTCGCCTCGTCGTCGCGCCACGATGGTGTCGGAGCGCCTTCGGCGCGTGACGGCTGCCCGCGACGAGGGTCGATGTGGGGCTGTCGGCGGGGGTGGCGCCTCCCCCACGCTTATCAAGAAACTCGGAGTACGTGTAACTGTTGGGCATTTTAAGCTTCGGGGTCAGAACACGAGGAAGAAGTCTCAGGCGAAGCGCCCCGCCTGCCCTACCGACACGTCAGGTGCCCAGAGGAGGAGGAGGAGGAGGAGGAGGAAGAGGAGGAGGAGGAGTTACCTATGAGGAAAAGGAGTGGAGGAGTGACTCCTCCCCCCTTTTTCCACTGAGGATACAGGGGGGAGGAGTTACCTATGAGGAAAAAGGGGGGATGGAAAAAGCGGGGAGGAGTTACTCCGGTCCCCCTTCTTTCCTTTTCTCTTCCCCCAACTGCAGGGGGAAGAGAAAAAGAAGGAAGGGGGATATGAGAGACGCTAAAGAGGCGGATGAGGAGGGAGGCGGGGGGGAGGAGGCGGGGGGGGGACGAGGAGGGCGGGGAGCAAGGGGTGAGGATGGAGGAGCCCGCAAAGAGGAGCGAAAAGGGAGGAGTGAGGAGAATGGAGGAGGCAAAGGATGGCGTCAAACCCAAGCTCTGCACTTGAAAGCGGCACCGTAGCATGATCCAGCAGTCAGTACTGTGTCTGGGTCCGAAAGCGGCGTCGCATGCCAAACAGGGCAAGACGACAGACCCTTGGAGCTATCCAGCACAATCGAAGCAATCCCCATGTTTGGGGGCGTGCAAAAGGTAGCTAGAGTGAAGCAGGGGCCTTCTGAAAGGCGGGGGGCCTCTCAGAAAGAGTTCGGGCCCTTTGAAAACAAGCGCCCCTCGCACTCTAGAAGGCGGACGGGTGGCCCGAAATCGGGGAGACCCCTTTGCCAGGAACCGTCCGCGCGCGCCTCACGGAACGATGTCCTTCGCGCAGCAGACGCACTTCTTTGCACCCTGCTCTGGCGGGATCTTGACCTGCGTGTAGATGCACAGGCACGTCTCGACAGACTGCATGCAGACATTGTCGCCGCTGCAGAGGCCGGCGGTGCACTTCGTCATGCCGTTGCCCGCCCCAGGCCACTCGTTCTTCTCGTTCAGGCCCATGGACCCCTCGACGATCAAGAACTTCTGGTACCCTGCAATCATCGGGCGATCCAGCGCCTTCAGACCGTTGCAGCCGTAACCGCCACAGAAGATGTAGGTGTACCACCAGGTGTCCCCGAAGATCGCTTGGTACTCGACGTCCCCCTTCTTCTTGCTCATGCCGCCTCCTGGTACAAGGGGCGTGTTGAAGCAGACGCACTTTGGCGCACCATCCACAGGTGGGCACTGGCACTGCGCTGTCTGATTCATCTGGAAGTTGAGGCACGCACAGAGGCCGTCGTCGTTCATCAGCGACGTCGTGTTGCAGGTGGCCTTCTGGGTCAAGTCCTCGACGTCGGAGCCGCACAGTGGGTCCTTCCAGTCTCCCCATCCACAGCCTCCGCAGCAGATGTAGATGAACCACTTGTTCTTCTCGATCAGGTCGGGGCCCTTCAGGTTCGCGGGGGGGTCCACAAGGCCTGCCATCCCTAGAGGGTCCGGGTGGAGACCAGTGCTCTGTTGCGGCAGGGGCAGAAACAGGCTCGGGATCGCTTGCTCTGGGCCAAACTGCCGCAGGAGGTGGCGGCAGCGGAAGTTGTATTGTGGAGCAGAGGGGCGATCACATCCAGAAGGCATAAGCATCTATGTATCACCAAAGTGCCTGGCCAGGGCCATCCCGGATGGTGGTCGCACCCCCCTGGCCGAGTCCCTGGCTCTTCGAGTCTCCCTTCTGAAGACCACGTAGCCAGCGTGGCCCTAAACAGTGCGTTTTCGCACTGTGGTGTGGGAGCGATGCGATGTAAACTACGTAGTGTAAACTATGTGGCGCAAGCTGACTCGTGTAATGCATGTCGTGTGAGCTGGAGGTCACTGCTCTGAGGCGCAAGCTCTGTGGTGTAAATTGTACTGTGGCTGCTGTGCGGTTTAAGCTATGCTATGCCAACCACATCGTGCAATCTGTGTGGTGCGAGCTATTTGACCGAGCTCAGCGCACGGGCCGCCCATCAGCGCTGACGAGGCGGCACGGGCGGCACCGTGGCGCGACCTCGGCGGACATTCTCAGCACACGGGGCGCCCACGAGCGCTGACGAGGCGGCACGGGCGGCAGCGCGACGCAACCTCGGCAAACGCGCCCAACATACAGGGCGCCCACGAGAGCCCACGAATCGTCACGGGGCGGAAACGCGGAAAACCTTCGGCCGACCAATCCAAATAATTGGGGAAACAAAATACAAGCCTCTAGTTACAAACCCTGTTTAGGAAATTTGACCCTACACATGTGCCGAAACCATGCTTCACCCCTTCCTCCGCATAGTAGGCGTTTGTATATATATAGAGAGAGAGAGAGAGAGAGAGAAAGAGAGAGAGAGAGTTAGAGTTAGACCCATACAAGACTGCATGGGCGCTTTGCGCCATGCGCCTTGTTCCGGACCCTCCCAAGCAAAGAAATTAGTCATCGCTTGCTTCAGCAGGGGGGAGGGATCTCGAAGCCTGGACGGGCGACCGGCTCATTTTTCTCATATCCCTGGTGCCAGCTGACACAGCATTCGCCCGATGCGCTTGCGCGCTTGTGCGCGGAAGTGGGGAAGGAATGATGCATTTTTCACGCGCGAAGGTCCTTCGAGGAAGTGAAGATCGTCCCCATGACCCGCCAAAGAAGTCGCAGCAGCTCCGAACAATCGATATTTGGTCGCTTCCTGAATGCCTGGAGGGCTCCAGGCACTCAGGAAACCTTCGATCGTCGAACTTCGAAGCTAGATCCATTGCCTGTCTCTTTCGATCGAAAAACTTAAACCACCTCGAGCCTCAAGCGTGGAAACAAGATCGTCGGGTCAACTCGATGTACTTCGTAGGAAAACGCAGTCTGCGCGGTTTTGGGTCTCTTTTGGGCCGTCCTGGGGCCCTCTTGGGTCGTCCTGCGGCCTTTTTAGGCCGCTTTGGGGAGCTGGGGCCCTCCAGAGGTCTTCTGAAGCCATCCAGGGCCCTATTGGGGACCTCCAGTGGCCTTCCTGGGGGTCTCCCATGGCTTTATATACATGAACCTTCAGATACTTTTTACGCATAAGCATTCTGCACAATCATACCATTGAGTCGGGTCCCTTTCCGCTCCGCCCCACCGCTGTCTAGACATATTATGTGGAGCACCCGCTTGAATCTCACACATGCATTTTGGATGAATCCGTAGCTGGTAAGATCATGCGGGCCACACGCGCGAGCGCCAATGTCACAACCCTCCCTGGACCATCGGCTTACACAGATATTGCACAACATCATTCACGCCGACTTATGTGGTGAACTCAGCAACTCAACGATTCCCCCGCGCGCAAACAGGTTGTTTGCTAGTTTGCATCATGCGACCATGTGGGCCACACGCGCGTGCATGTCGAAAACATGCAGCTATCATTGCGCGCCAGCCAACGCTGTCAAGCAACACAACGCGTGCCACGTGCGCGCGTCCCAGCGCGCGCGTGCCGAAATCACTGCAAAGCGGCTGATGTCCGACGCACTTCGAAGTAGATGTGACCATGCGCGCATGATGCCCACCGGATTCCCAATACAGAAATCGGTCAGCGGTTGTGCGCGCGCGGCCTTCCTGACCACCAGCAGTGCCAGCGTCACCATTTCATTCGTCGTCAGAGTCACCACGACCATCTTCATAATCATCACAAGCATCGCGCCCATCATCACCACCGTCGCCAGCAGCATCGGTATCGTCATCGTCTTTGTCGTCGTCCCCGTCAACGTCGCAACCAATATCACCACTATCACCGTCGTCGTCGACGACGTCGCCATCACAATCCTTACTTGCCCGCCCGATCCATAGATCTGCATGCTAGGGGCCCCGTGCCCTTGCGCAGGATACGCTTTGCCAAATACCTGCCGATGGAAGGGTAAGATTGCCCAATAATTATAGTTAGCGAACCCGGGATCTTGAAACATGAAAGCTTGCATAGCGTAGGCAAGACCCTTAAATTGCACCACGTAGCTTGCAGCGCATAGTTTGCGCCACCTACGATGTGCCAAACAGATGGCACCGCGTAGCTTGCATGACTAATACTGCATCACCGAGTTTCCACCAAATTGTTTGCACCACGAGGATTCGATGTCTTGATCCATGCTTTCTGGCGTGGCCCCCAAGAAGACAAGTATCAGACTGCGGATGTGTGAAATATGTGATGTCTACCTTGTGCCTTGTGCAGCCGACGTGGGCCAATGTATGTGGTGCGAACTGTGTGGTATAAGTTTCCTGCTATGAGAATTTTCAAGCTGTGGAATGCAAGCTATAAGGTGTAAGCAATGCGGTGCAGGCTATGTGGTGAAAACATTCACTTGCTCAATTTGAAGCTGTCCTCTCCACTGCCCCTGCAAACATCCCACCCTCCCACCCGCAACTTGGTCGCAAGACCTCTTAAGACCGTGACGGTGGGTACCAAATGGCACTTGGTACCGACACCGACGCCGACGACGACAGCGACAACGACGACGATGCCGCCAACAACGATTACGACGACACCGACGACGACGACGACGACACCGACGACAACGACGACGCCGACGCCGACCACGACGATGACGACGACGATGACGACGACGCCGACGACGCCGACGACGAAGACGAAGACGACGACGTCGCCAACGAAGACGACGACGAGGACGAGGGAGGAGGGAGGACGACGACGGCGGCAACGACGACGACGGCGAGGGAGGAGGGAGGACGGCGACGACGCGAACGACGAAGGAGGGAGGACGGCGACGCCGGCGACGACAACGACGAGGGAGGAGGGAAGACGACGACGACGACGACGACGACGACGACGACGGCGACGAAATATGAGGGACAACGACGAAACGCCGACGAAGACAAGGGAGGAAGGACGGCCACGGCGACCACGACGACGGAAACGACGACGACGCCAAGACGACGACGAAAACGACGACGACGACGACGAGGAAAGACAGAGGACGACGACGACGACGACGACGACGACGACGACGACGACGACGACGACGACGAGGGAGGAGGGAGGACGGCGACAACGACCACGACGCAAGAGCGCGCGCGCACGCTTTTGTTGAACATCTGTGTTGCGAAACCCTGTGCTTTTGCATATTTTGTTGTACAATCATTTTTGAAATCCTTCCGAAACCGATGATTTTTGAAGGATTTCGGCATGCGCGCGCGACGACGCGTGCGTGCGCACTTCGTCCCACTTTTTGCGGAGGATTCTCGCGACGGCACGCGCGCAAGGGCGTTCGAAAGATTTCGACATGCGCGCGCGCGGGAAGCCCGCTTGGTAGTATCTCTTGAAAAGATTGAGAAACCTATGGTCATGTTAAGATTTCGCAAGAGCGCGCGCGTAAGTTTTATTAGCAAAGCAGTGTTGCGAAACCCGATGTTTTCTATACTATTTTGGAAACTCGATGTTGAATCGAAACTTCTTGAAGGATCTCGGCATGCGCGCGACGACGCGCGCGTGCACTTCGTCCAAATTTTTGCAAGTAACTATTGAAAACTTATGATTTGCGATAAACGAGTGCGCGCGCATAGCATTCATTGCAAAAGATGTCTGGGGGAGTGATACTGGCCTGGGTGGGATAGTGTGAATCCACAGGTAAGATGGACGAGTGTGCAGAACACGTATGGAATCGTAATACCCCAGAGGGGGACCGTTAACTCAGGGGGTGGGTAGAGTTTATTCTTCTTCTGGAAAGGAGAATGCATGTGCTGTAAGCCGCCATGCGGCAACAGCAGTGCAGGGCCAGCCGTGTGGTGCAAGCTGTGCAGTGGAAGCAGCGGGACGTGAGCCATGTGATGCGCGCTGTGCTGTGAGACATCTGTGGTGCAAGCGGTGCGTCCGCCCAGCGCACGGGGCGTCCACGAGGCGCCCACGGGCGGACACCAGGCGAACCCTCGGCTGACGCAGCCCAGCGCTCGCGGCGCCCACGAGGCGCCCACGGGCGGGCACCAGGCGAAACCTCTGCGGAGCCACCCAGCACACGAGGCGCCCACGGGCGGGCACCCGGCGGAACCTCGGCGGACCCACCCAGCGCAGGGGGCGACCGCGAGGCGCCCACCGGCGGGCACCAGGCGGAACTCCGCGTGATCATTGATGTTCCTACTTACCTGAATGTCAACAGGACCATGCCAGCCAGGCTGGTGCCCCTTCCCCCCTCGCCCCTGCCAACAGTCCGATGCGGTGCGCATGCGCTAGTACAGGGCATGCCTTATCTACGGACCCCTTGCAGTAAGGCGCAATGCGGTCCTCCTCTCTCTGCCTGCGCCGTCCGTGGTTCACTAAGACATACACACACACACTTTTTGGCGGTCGCGGCCTCGCGCGCAGCGACGAGGCGGATTGAGGTTGAGCGGCGGTGCGCGCGCGGCTGGACACACACACACACACGAACACACACACACACACACACACACACACGAACACCACACACAAACACACACACACACACGCACCACACACACGCACCACACACACGCACCACACACACACACACACTGTGAAGTCGATGGCGCCGAGGGTCCTCAGGCGCGAGCAGCAAGTAGGAGTGCTAA